ATGCATTTATGACCTAAAATCTAAGAATCTCCTCCTAGTGGAACTATTTTCCCTATTGGTACTTACTTTCCTAACGGATTCTTTTTTAGAATAATGATCACATTCAGTTCAAGCAGGATTTACGTCTTTTAATTGTGGGTTAAATATAGATTAACAATAATCATAAACATAAACATAGATTATTAAGATTAAGCTACTAAAAAACCATACTTCTTAGAAGCAATAAGGAAGTCGGAATAAGAAATTTAGTGTGAAAGTGGAAATTTATAGTAAGGTGTATTGAAAAGTGTTTTTTTTATTGCATATTTTGATTGTGTATTTACAAACTTGATGTGAACTTTCTTCTATAGGTGAAGGGGAATTCTCTAGAGATAATACATTATTGCATTTACATTACGAAAGGATAAAGTATTATTTGCTATTTTTATCTAAAGCACTAAAAACAACAAACTTTATCTAACTCTTGCCTAACAATAATATACATGATAAAAAGTTGAAAGGGACATGCCCCCTTTCATAGCCTTGTGTGTTAGGATTACCCTTTCATATCTTAGAAGGGTCAAGTAACTATTCCTTAATGCTTGTAATTCTTGTCTTTTTCAACCTTTTTCTTGTCTGCAATAATTTCTTTAATTTTACATCATTAGTGACGTATCTTTTTTGCAATTTACACAATTAATAGATTATCTTGTGAAGATTCTGATGATCCTGATTTTTTTCCCCAAGACATACTTCTTCTTCTGTATGCCTCTACCAATTTTGGCATTGAATGTTTGACTTCAAAAGGGAAAAAGAAATTTTTGTAATATATGAATTATAATAAATTTTCCATGTTTTGTCTTTTCTTAGGAGATTTTTTTCATCCATTTTGTATTTGGACCAGGAAAAGTCTTTAGAAATTATTTTGGCTCTGGCAATTTCTACTTGCTGTGGGAGATCTTCTAAGTGTAAGGTCTTTGGACCCGAATTTTACACTTGAAATTCTTCAAATTCAATATCCATATTCTTCAAATATAACCAAATTAAATGATAACTTGGACAATTATTGTGAAAATCTAGATATAATGATGTTATTTCTAGTTTTACACTTTGTGGAAATTCTGGAATTATGGTTTCTAATGTATCAGCTAAGAATGCTGGTAAATATAGAGTGAAGTCATACAATGGTGGAACATTAATTATACTTACCAGTCCATGTTTAAGCAAATTGGTTAATGTTAAAGGGTAATATCTAAATTTGAAGGGTTTAAAAGTTGGTAAGTAGATTCTTGCCTTCCTAATAGCAGAATCTAATTTGCAATAGCATTCACCCTCCTGATTTTCAGGGCAGTCTTCAAACATGTTTTGACATGGTTTATAGTTATTATGAACAAAATCCCATTCAGTGGAGATTCCATTATGGATAATTTGGTTGTTACAAATTTGGGCCAAGGCTTCTTGTAACAAAACAAATGTTTTTATTCTCATTTCTTCTACAGAAGTCTTGGGAGGTGTCTGAATTGATGGTTTTCCCATATTTACCAAACTTGTGATGATTTTTGAGTTTTTTGGAGAATTTAATGTTTCACTTTACATAATTTTTGTTAAATCTAGGTTGGTTCCTTTGATTTTTATCATCAGGATGTTTACCATATTATTGAGGACTATAAATTTGTTTACAGAACCCTACATTCTTTTGTTTTAATTCTTTTTGAATTTGGATATAAGTACTTTTTTTTAATTCGAAAATAATGAATTGTATTCTTATTCCAATGTTATCAAATTCATTATTAACTTCTATTTTCTTCAAATTTTCTTGAATTTCATGACCTAATGGTCCTAGTAATTTGGTAAATAATCTTTCTCCTAACTTTGTAGAAAAATAGTTTTCTGAAGTGTTTGCTAAGGCATAAAAGTCTTGTAGAAATTCTATTATATGGTTCCAATCATATAATTGAATTTGTTCTAAATCTCTCATGGCTTCAGCTTGTCTCATAGTTAATCCTACATTGGCATCTTTGCCTATAATAATTCTGTGTATTAAATATGTAAAATTAATTCCTATTATTTCAAACTTTAAACCACAAATAAAAAAATATGAAACCTGCAATTGCAAAGGAACCAAGGATAAATATTCTTGTAGTAATATAGAACAAGATTTAGATTTAGACCTAAACAATGCTATAGAAAGTGAGTTACACTTAATAAACACTACAAATTTCACAAAAAACCTACAAAATTATGATCTAGAGTAAATAATTAAAAAATTAGAAAAAATTGAAATAATAGCAGAAAATTCTACAGAATTTTGAGAAAGAAATATAACTCTATGTAAGTTAGAATCTATCAACCCGAACATTACTATTAAATCACCTAATTTCAAGTATAGAAATTAGGAACAAGAAGAATTTAAAATGCACAATAACCAATTGTTGAAATTAGGAATTATTCAAAAGTTAAATTCTAGACAAAGAACCCTTGCTTTTATTGTTCAAAAAGAAGTGGAAAAGAAAAGGAGTCAATCCAGAATGGTTTTTGATTATAGAAGATTAAGTGATAATACGTTTGAAGACGGATACTGTATACCAGACAAAGACACTTTAATTAACAAAATACAAGGTAAAAATTGGTTTTCTAAATTTGATTTAAAATCATGCTTTTGACAAGTAAAATTGCATAAAGATAATATTGAGTGGACAGCTTTTTCTTGTCCATTGGGATATTTTGAATGGTTAGTAATGCCATTTGAACTTAAAAATGCTCCACAAATCTTCCAAAGAATGATGGATGACATTTTTAAAGAATGTTACAATTTTACTTGTGTTTACATTGATGATGTTCTTGTTTTTTCTAAATCTGAAAAAGAATATCTAGAACACTTATATATAATTTTTTCCTTATTCGAAAAACAATTATTTAAATACTAGAGTGTTTAATATGAGAGTGGTGGATGACATTGTATTTAAAGTCTATAATAAATGAAGTAAGTAGATAAGTCATGTAGTATAATATTTAAATATATATGTGTAAATGTAAAGTGTAAGTAGATATAATAATACGTAACAATAATAATAAATGGTATAGGTGTAATGGGTGTAATAATGAATGTGTTAATAATATAGAAAAGATTTTTAAGTCCTTGATAAAGTAGATAAGTCATCTTTTATGATAATAATCATGGTGTAAAATGTAGAAATTTGTTGAAGAGTTAAGTCTTTTTGAAATTTCAAGAAAGAAGAATATGTAGTCCTATTATTATTTTTAATAAGTGAATTAATGGATTATAATTCTTTTTCTAAATCTGAAATAATTCTTCTATATTATTATAAATTTGGTCTTTCTTTGGATAAGTCCATATTGTCAGAGTTATTCGCAAAGAAGTATTTATGAAGAATATTTTTAATTTGTCTCATAACCATCATCATCAAAATTTATATCATTCTCTGAATTTGTTTGTGTGTTACCAAAGTTTCTAAAATTTATAATACATCTATGGTCAATTTTTTGGTGATTTATCATTCTATAAAGAATCTGAGAATGATTTCCATAAAAATGTCCTTCAAAACTATCTAGGTAATAAGAATTAGAGGTAAATGTGTTTAACTCATTAATTAGGCACCTTAATTCATGTTTTTTCATATCTTTTTCTAATGTTGCCCGTAAGTCTTTCAAAATTATTTTTTCTTGAAGAGGAGAAAAATTTAATTTTTTCAATATAATCTTAATTAAATCCGGATAAGGAAATCTTTGGAGTAAATAAGTTATCTTTGTATCAAAATTTTGGATAAAAATTAAATCTGATAATTTTTTGTCTGAATTAGGTTCTGAATAATCAATTCCAAAATAATTTGAAAAATACCTCTGACTTGTGACATTTGAATTTTCTTTGTTTGGTTCCATATAATAATTATTTAAAATATGTTTTTTGAAAATATTTGATTTTAAATCTTATTCCTCCTTCCTATTGCTAGTTCCTTCGAGTATTATGATTTGTTAGTTTCTTTATCTTAATAATTTTAGCTTATTTTTTTAATTATTTAATAGTCCATATTTAAGATAGAATCTCACCTTTTCATTCCTCACTTACTACCACAGAGTTCTTCCAGAGACTTCTATGCGTTTATGACCTAAAATCTAAGAATCTCCTCCTAGCGGAACTATTTTCCCTCTTTGTACTTACTTCCCTAGCGGATTCTTTCTTAGATTAATGATCACATTCAGTTCAAGCAGGATTTACGTCTTTTGATTGTGGGCTAAACATAGATTAACAATAATCATAAACATAAACAGAGATTATTAAGATTAACCTACTAAAAAATCATACCTCTTAGAAGCAATAAGGAAGTCGGAATAAGAAATTTAGTGTGAAAGTGGAAATTTATAGTAAGGTGTATTGAAAAATATTTTTTTATTGCATATTTTGATTGTGTATTTACAAACTTGATGAGAACTTCCTTTTGTAGGTGAAGGGAAAGTCTCTAGAGATAATACATTATTGCCTTTACATTAAGAAAGGATAAAGCACTATTTGTTATCCTTATCTAAAGCACTAAAAACAACAAACTTTACCTAACTCTTGCCTGACAATAATATACATGATAAAAAGTTGAATGGGACAGGCCCCCTTTCATAGTCTTGCGTGTCAAGATTATCCTTTCATATCTTAGAAGGGTCAAGTAACTATTCCTTTAATGCTTGTAATTCTTGATTTTTTGCAATTTACACAATTAATAGATTATCTTGTGAAGATTCTGATAATCCTGTTTTTTTCCCCAAGACATACTTCTTCTTCTGTATGCCTCTACCAATTTTGGCCTTGAATGTTTGACTTCAAAAGGGAAAAAGAAATTTTTTGTAATATCTGAGTTACAATAAATTTTCCTTGTTTTGTCTTCTCTTAGGAGATTTTTTTCATCCATTTTGTATTTGGACCAGGCAAAGTCTTTAAAAATTATTTTGGCTCTGACAATTTCTACTTGCTGTGGGAGATCTTCTAAGTGTAAGGTCTTTGGACCCGAATTTTACACTTGGAATTCTTTAAATTCAATATCCATATTCTTGAAATATAACCAAATTAAATGATAACTTGGACAATTATTGGGAAAATCTATATATAATGATGTTATTTCTAGTTTTACACTTTGTGAAAATTCTGAAATTATGGTTTCTAATGTATCAGCTAAGAATGCTGGTAAATATGGAGTGAAGTCATACAATGGTGGAACATTAATTATACTTACCAGTCCATGTTTAAGCAAATTGGTTAATGTTAAAGGGTAATCTCTAAATTTGAAGGGTTTAAAAGTTGGTAAGGAGATTCTTGCCTTCCTAATGGCATAATCTAATTTACAATAGCATTCACCCTCCTGATTTTCAGGGCAGTCTTCAAACATGTTTTGACATGGTTTGTAGTTATTATGAACAAAATCCCATTCAGTGGAGATTCCATTATGGATAATTTGGTTGTTACAAATCTGGGCCAAGGATTCTTGTAACAAAACAAATGTTTTTATTCTCATTTCTTCTACAAAAGTCTTGGGAGTTGTCTGAATTGATGGTTTTCCCATATTTACCAAACTTGTGATGATTTTTGAGTTTTTTTGGAGAATTTAATGTTTCAGTTTGCATAATTTTTCTTAAATCTAGGTTGGTTCCTTTGATTTTTAGCATCAGGATGTTTACCATATTATTGAGGACTATAAATTTGTTTACAGAACCCTACATTCTTTTGTTTTAATTCTTTTTGAATTTGGATATAAGTAATTTTTTTTAATTCAAAAATAATGTATTGTATTCTTATTCCAATGTTATCAAATTCATTATTAACTTCTATTTTCTTCCAATTTTCTTGAATTTCATGACCTAATGGTCCTGGTAATTTGGTAAATAATCTTTCTCCTAATTCTGTAGAAAAATAGTTTCCTGAAGTGCTTGCTAAGGCATAAAAGTCTTGTAGAAATTCTATTATATGGTTCCAATCATATAATTGAATTTGTTCTAAATCTCTCATGGCTTCAGCTTGTCTCATAGTTAATCCTACATTGGCATCTTTTCCTGTAATAATTCCGTGTATTAAATATGTAAAATTAATACCTATTATTTCAAACTTTAAACCACAAATAAAAAAATATGAAACCTGCAATTGCAAAGGAACCAAAGATAAATATTCTTGCAATAATATAGAACAAGATTTAGATTTAGACCTAAACAATGGTATAGAAAGTGAGTTACACTTAATAGACACTACAAATTTCACAAAAAACCTACAAAATTATGATCTAGAGTAAATAATTAAAAAATTAGAAAAAATTGAAATAATATGAGAAATCCTACAGAATTTTGAGAAAGAAATATAACTCTATGTAAGTTAGAAATTATCAACCCGAACATTACTATTAAATCACCTAATTTCAAGTATGGAAATTGGGAACAAGAGGAATTTAAAATGCACAATAACCAATTGTTGAAATTAGGAATTATTCAAAAATTAAATTCTAGACACAGAACCCTTGCTTTTATTGTTCAAAAAGAAGTGGAAAAGAAAAGGGGTCAACCCATAATGATTTTTGATTATAGAAGATTAAATGATAATACGTTTGAAGACGGATACTGTATACCATACAAAGACACTTTAATTAACAAAATACAAGGTAAAAATTGGTTTTCTAAATTTTATTTAAAACCATGCTTTTGGCAAGTAAAAATGCATAAAGATAACATTGAGTGGACAGCTTTTTCTTGTCCATTGGGATATTTTGAATGGCTAGTAATGTCATTTGGAATTAAAAATGCTCCACAAATCTTCCAAAGAATGATGGATGACATTTTTAAAGAATGTTACAATTTTACTTGTGTTTACATTGATGATGTTCTTGTTTTTTCTAAATCTGAAAAAGAATATCTAGAACACTTATATATAATTTTTTCCTTATTCAAAAAACAAGTATTTAAATACTAGAGTGTTTAATATGAGAGTGGCGGGTGACATTGTATTTAAAGTCTATAATAAACGAAGTAAGTAGATAAGTCATGTAGTATAATATTTAAATATATATGTGTAAGTGTAAAGTGTAAGTAGATATAATAATACGTAACAATAATAATAAATGGTATAGGTGTAATGGGTGTAATAATGAATGTGTTAATAATATAGAAAAGATTTTTAAGTCCTTGATAAAGTAGATAAGTCATCTTTTATGATAATAATCATGGTGTAAAATGTAGAGATTTGTTGAAGAGGTAAGTCTTTTTGAAATTTCAAGAAAGAAGAATATGTAGTCCTATTATTATTTTTAATAAGTGAATTAATGGATTATAATTCTTTTTCTAAATCTGAAATAATTCTTCTATATTATTTTAAATTTATTCTTTCTTTGGATAAGTCCATATTGTCAGAGTTATTCGAAAAGAAGTATTTATGAAGAATATTTTTAATTTGTCTCATAACCATCATCATCGAAATTTATATCATTCTCTGAATTTGTTTGTGTATTACCAAAGTTTCTAAAATTTATAATACATCTATGGTCAATTTTTTGAAGATTTCTCATTCTATAATGAATCTGAGAATGATTTCCATAAAAATGTCCTTCAAAACTATCTAGGTAATAAGAATTATAGGTAAATGTGTTTAATTCATTAATTAGGCACCTTAATTCATGTTTTTCCATATCTTTTTCTAATGTTGCCCGTAAGTCTTTCAAAATTATTTTTTCTTGAAGAGGAGAAAAATTTAATTTTTTCAATATAATCTTAATTAAAATTGGATAAGGAAATCTTTGGAGTAAATAAGTTATCTTTGTATCAAAATTTTGGATAAAAATTAAATCTGATAATTTTTTGTCTGAATTAGGTTCTGAATAATCAATTCCAAAACAATTTGAAAAATACCTCTGACTTGTGACATTTGAATTTTCTTTGTTTGGTTCCATATAATAATTATTTAAAATATGTTTTTTGAAAATATTTGATTTTAAATCTTATTCCTCCTTCCTATTGCTAGTTCCTTCGAGTATTATGATTTGTTAGTTTCTTTATCTTAATAATTTTAGCTTATTTTTATAATTATTTAATAGTCCATATTTAAGATAGAATCTCACCTTTTCATTCCTCACTTACTACCACAGAGTTCTTCCAGAGACTTCTATGCGTTTATGACCTAAAATCTAAGAATCTCCTCCTAGCGGAACTATTTTCCCTCTTTGTACTTACTTCCCTAACGGATTCTTTCTTAGATTAATGATCACATTCAGTTCAAGAAGGATTTACGTCTTTTGATTGTGGGATAAACATAGATTAACAATAATCATAAACATAAACAGAGATTATTAAGATTAAGCTACTAAAAAATCATACCTCTTAGAAGCAATAAGGAAGTCGGAATAAGAAATTTAGTGTGAAAGTGGAAATTTATAGTAAGGTGTATTGAAAAGTATTTTTTTATTGCATATTTTGATTGTGTATTTACAAACTTGATGAGAACTTCCTTTTGTAGGTGAAGGGGAAGTCTCTAGAGATAATACATTATTGCCTTTACATTAAGAAAGGATAAAGCACTATTTGTTATCTTATCTAAAGCACTAAAAACAACAAACTTTACCTAACTCTTGCCTAACAATAATATACATGATAAAAAGTTGAATGGCACAGGCCCCCTTTCATAGTCTTGCGTGTCAATATTATCCTTTCATATCTTAGAATGGTCAAGTAACTATTCCTTTAATGCTTGTAATTCTTGTCTTTTTCAACCTTTTTCTTGTCCGTAATGATTTCTTTAATTTTACGCCATTTGTGACGTATATTTTTTGCAATTTACACAATTAATAGATTATCTTGTGAAGATTATGATAATCCTGTTTTTTCCCCCAAGACATACTTCTTCTTCTGTATGCCTCTACCAATTTTGGCCTTGAATGTTTGACTTCAAAAGGGAAAAAGAAATTTTTTGTAATATCTGAGTTACAATAAATTTTCCCTGTTTTGTCTTCTCTTAGGAGATTTTTTTCATCCATTTTGTATTTGGACCAGGCAAAGTCTTTAGAAATTATTTTGGCTCTGACAATTTCTACTTGCTGTGGGAGATCTTCTAAGTGTAAGGTCTTTGGACCCGAATTTTACACTTGGAATTCTTCAAATTCAATATCCATATTCTTGAAATATAACCAAATTAAATGATAACTTGGACTATTATTGTGAAAATCTAGATATAATGATGTTATTTCTAGTTTTACACTTTGTGAAAATTCTGAAATTAAGGTTTCTAATGTATCAGCTAAGAATGCTGGTAAATATGGAGTGAAGTCATACAATGGTGGAACATTAATTATACTTACCAGTCCATGTTTAAGCAAATTGGTTAATGTTAAAGGGTAATCTCTAAATTTGAAGGGTTTAAAAGTTGGTTAAGGAGATTCTTGCCTTCCTAATGGCATAATCTAATTTACAATAGCATTCACCCTCCTGATTTTCAGGGCAGTCTTCAAACATGTTTTGACATGGTTTATAGTTATTATGAATAAAATCCCATTCAGTGGAGATTCCATTATGGATAATTTGGTTGTTACAAATTTGGGCCAAGGCTTCTTGTAACAAAACAAATGTTTTTATTCTCATTTCTTCTACAGAAGTCTTGGGAGGTGTCTGAATTGATGGTTTTCCCATATTTACCAAACTTGTGATGATTTTTGAGTTTTTTGGAGAATTTAATGTTTCAGTTTACATAATTTTTCTTAAATCTAGGTTGGTTCCTTTGATTTTTAGCATCAGGATGTTTACCATATTATTGAGGACTATAAATTTGTTTACAGAACCTTACATTCTTTTGTTTTAATTCTTTTTGAATTTGGATATAAGTACTTTTTTTGTAATTCAAAAATAATATATTGTATTCTTATTCCAATGTTATCAAATTCATTATTAACTTCTATTTTCTTTTAATTTTCTTGAATTTCATGACCTAATGGTCCTGGTAATTTGGTAAATAATCTTTCTCCTAATTCGGTAGAAAAATAGTTTCCTGAAGTGCTTGCTAAGGCATAAAAGTCTTGTAGAAATTCTATTATATGGTTCCAATCATATAATTGAATTTGTTCTAAATCTCTCATGCTTCAGCTTGTCTCATAGTTAATCCTACATTGGCATCTTTTCCTGTAATAATTCCGTGTATTAAATATGTAAAATTAATACCTATTATTTCAAACTTTAAACCACAAATAAAAAAATATGAAACCTGCAATTGCAAAGGAACCAAGGATAAATATTCTTGCAATAATATAGAACAAGATTTAGATTTAGACCTAAACAATGGTATAGAAAGTGAGTTACACTTAATAGAAACTACAAATTTCACAAAAAACCTACAAAATTATGATCTAGAGTAAATAATTAATAATTAGAAAAAATTGAAATAATAGGAGAAAATCCTACAGAATTTTGAGAAAGAAATATAACTCTATGTAAGTTAGAAATTATCAACTCGAACATTACTATTAAATCACCTAATTTCAAGTATCGAAATTGGGAACAAGAGGAATTTAAAATGCACAATAACCAATTGTTGAAATTAGGAATTATTCAAAAATTAAATTCTAGACACAGAACCCTTGCTTTTATTGTTCAAAAAGAAGCGGAAAAGAAAAGGGGTCAATCCAGGATTGTTTTTTATTATAGAAGATTAAATGATAATACGTTTGAAGACGGATACTGTATACCAGACAAAGACACTTTAATTAACAAAATACAAGGTAAAAATTGGTTTTCTAAATTTGATTTAAAATCATGCTTTTGGCAAGTAAAAATGCATAAAGATAACATTGAGTGGACAGCTTTTTCTTGTCCATTGGGATATTTTGAATGGCTAGTAATGCCATTTGGACTTAAAAATGCTCCACAAATCTTCCAAAGAATGATGGATGACATTTTTAAAGAATGTTACAATTTTACTTGTGTTTACATTGATGATGTTCTTGTTTTTTCTAAATCTGAAAAAGAATATCTAGAACACTTATATATAATTTTTTTCCTTATTCGAAAAACAAGTATTTAAATACTAGAGTGTTTAATATGGGAGTGGTGGATGACATTGTATTTAAAGTCTATAATAAATGAAGTAAGTAGATAAGTCATGTAGTATAATATTTAAATATATATCTGTAAGTGTAAAGTGTAAGTAGATATAATAATACCTAACAATAATAATAAATGGTATATGTGTAATGGGTGTAATAATGAATGTGTTAATAATTTAGAAAAGATTTTTAAGTCCTTGATAAAGTAGATAAGTCATCTTTTATGATAATAATCATGGTGTAAAATGTAGAGATTTGTTGAAAAGTTAAGTCTTTTTGAAATTTCAAGAAAGAAGAATATGTAGTCCAATTATTATTTTTAATAAGTGAATTAATGGATTCTTATTCTTTTTCTAAATCTGAAATAATTCTTCTATATTATTTTAAATTTGTTCTTTCTTTGGATAAGTCCATATTGTCAGAGTTAATCGCAAAGAAGTATTTATGAAGAATATTTTTAATTTGTCTCATAACCATCATCATCGAAATTTTTATCATTCTCTGAATTTGTTAGTGTATTACCAAAGTTTCTAAAATTTATAAAACATCTATGGTAAATTTTTTTGTGATTTCTCATTCTATAATGAATCTGAGAATGATTTCCATAAAAATGTCCTTCAAAACTATCTAGGTAATAAGAATTAGAGGTAAATGTGTTTAATTCATTAATTAGGCACCTTAATTCATGTTTTTCCATATCTTTTTCTAATGTTGCCCGTAAGTCTTTCAAAATTATTTTTTCTTGAAGAGGAGAAAATTTTAATTTTTTCAATATAATCTTAATTAAATCCGGATAAGGAAATATTTGGAGTAAATAAGTTATCTTTGTATCAAAATATTGGATAAAAATTAAATTTGATAATTTTTTGTCTGAATTAGGTTCTGAATAATCAATTCCAAAATAATTTGAAAAATACCTCTGACTTGTGACATTTGAATTTTCTTTGTTTGGTTCCATATAATAATTAATTAAAATATATTTTTTGAAAATATTTGATTTTAAATCTTATTCCTCCTTCCTATTGCTAGTTCCTTCGAGTATTATGATTCGTTAGTTTCTTTATCTTAAAAATTTTAGCTTATTTTTATAATTATTGAATAGTCCATATTTAAGATAGAATCTCACCTTTTCATTCCTCACTTACTACCACAGAGTTCTTCCAGAGACTTCTATGCGTTTATGACCTAAAATCTAAGAATCTCCTCCTAGCGAAACTATTTTCCCTCTTTGTACTTACTTCCCTAACGGATTCTTTCTTAGATTAATGATCGCATTCAGTTCAAGCAGGATTTACGTCTTTTGATTGTGGGTTAAACATAAATTAACTATAATCATAAACATAAACAGAGATTATTAAGATTAAGCTGCTAAAAAATCATACCTCTTAGAAGCAATAAGGAAGTCGGAATAAGAAATTTAGTGTGAAAGTTGAAATTTATAGTAAGTTGTATTGAAAAGTATTTTTTTTTATTGCATATTTTGATTGTGTACTTACAAACTTGATGAGAACTTCCTTTTGTAGGTGAAGGAGAAGTCTCTAGAGATAATACATTATTGCCTTTACATTAAGAAAGGATAAAGCACTATTTTCTATCCTTATCTAAAGCACTAAAAACAACGAACTTTACCTAACTCTTGCCTAACAATAATATACATGATAAAAAGTTGAAAGGCACAGGCCCCCTTTCATAGTCTTGTGTGTCAAGATTATCCTTTCATATCTTAGAAGGGTGAAGTAACTATTCCTTTAATGCTTGTAATTCTTGTCTTTTTCAATCTTTTTCTTGTCCGTAATGATTTCTTTAATTTTACGTCATTAATCATTCTAAATATAGTTGTCTAATATTAAATCATTTCCATATAAACTGATGCTAAGAATAGTAAAATGAAGATATGTGCAGCTAATGTCATAATGTGCTGTTATGACGTTATCTTCACTTAATGTGATGTTATGACAGCATCTTCATGATATTATTTTGGCAAGATATCAATTGCCTAAGAATAACAAATATTAGTTTGTAATGGGATTCTTTTCATTGATTCTTGATCTGATATATATACACGTATAGGGTTGAATATAATATCTAATCATTCTAAATATAGTTGTCTAATATTAAATCATTTCCATATAAACTGATGCTAAGAATAGTAAAATGAAGATATGTGCAGCTAATGTCATAATGTGTTGTTATGACATTATCTTCACATAATGTGATGTTATGACAGCATCTTCATGATATTATTTTGGCAAGATATCAGTTGCCTAAGATCCCCCCTCAAGTTGGAGCATGCAAATTGTGGATGCCTAACTTGTTTAGAAAGTAATCAAATTATTGTTTTCCCAATGCTTTAGTAAATATATCAGCAAGTTGAATATTTGTGGACACATGGTGAGTTGAAATGTTGCCGTTGAGGAGTTCATCGCGTAAAAAATGACAGTCAACTTCGATGTGTTTTGTGCGTTCATGGAAAACTGGATTGGCAGCTATATGCAATGCCGACTGACTATCACAATGTATCTTCATGGGGCGAGATTGAGAGATACCAAGGGAGAGTAAAAGTGCTTTCAACCATTTGAGTTAACATGTCGTAGTAGCCATGGAACGATATTCTGCCTCAGCAGACGAACGAGAGACAACCTGTTGCTTTTTGGTTTTCCAAGAGATAGGTGAGTTCCCAAGAAAAACTATCCATCCAGTAAGAGAGCGCCTTGTTAAAGGGCAACCTGCCCAATCCGAGTCACACCAGGCGTTAATTTGAAGATCACAATCAGCTTGGAGAAGAATACCTTGGCCGGGATTTCCCTTGAGATAACGAACAACACGAAGGGCTGCATTCCAGTGTTCTTCTAAGGGCTTTTGCATGAATTGAGCCAAAATATGAACCGAGTAAGAAAGTTCAGGTCTAGTGACAGTTAAGTAGACCAAACGACCTACTAGTCTTCGATAGCGATCCGGATTGGAAAGTGGAGTTCCAATGGCCAAGGGAAGATGGTGATTTTGATCTAAGGGAAAACCAACAGGCTTAGCACCTAACAATCCAGCTTCAGTAATGATGTCAAGTGTGTATTTTCGTTGGCACAAGAAAATTCCTTTGGAATTGCGAGACACCTCAATGCCAAGAAAATATTTTAAAGGGCCAAGATCTTTCATATGAAAGCATGTGCTCAAGTAGGATTTGAATGACTCAATTGCTTTGTTGTTGTTTCCCGAAATGATAAGGTCATCCACATAAACTAACACATACAACTCTACACAGTCACGATGTAGAGTAAAAAGAGAGTAATCAGAGTAGGACTGTGTGAAACCATACCGTTGAAGTGCGTTTTTTAGTTTGGCAAACCAACACCGAGGTGCCTGTTTCAAGCCGTATAGAGATTTCCGCAAGCGACACACCTGATTTGGAGTAGATGTCTTGAAACCGGGGGGTAATTTCATATACACTTCTTCGTCAAGCTCACCATGTAAAAAAGCGTTATGAACGTCCATTTGATGAAGTTCCCGATGTTTTACAGCAGCAACAGCAAGAAACATTCTCACAGTTACCATTTTCACAACTGGAGCAAAGGTTTCATGATAATCCAACCCCTCAACTTGGTTGTTCCCCATAATAACGAGCCTTGCCTTATAGCGTTCAATAGTTCCATCTGAGTGATATTTAATTCGTTACACCCATTTACTGCCGATAGCCTTTTTGTTTGGAGGAAGTGTTTCTACTATCCAAGTCCCATTATTTTCAAGAGCCTCAAATTCAAGTTGCATGGCATTTCGCCATCGGATATCTTTGACAGCTTCAGCAAAGCTTTGTGGTTCTATGGCTGCAGAAACAGCGGCTAAAAAATGCATGTGCTGTGGTGAAAAGTTAGCATAATTCACATATTCGGATAAGGGATAGGGTGTACCTGAAGGACGTGACGGAGCGATGGAACAGTTTGAGGGGCATATCTTAGAGATGGTATTAGTCACAAAGTCTTGCAGCTTGGTAGAAGGAATCTTGACACGACGGCCACGTCCCAAATTTTCGACTGTATCAGTAGTAGGCGGTTCTTCATTGATTTCAACAGCTGGTGGTATGTCATGAGACTCAGGTGAAGAGGATTCAATATGAGATACAATTGGAACAGCTGGTAGCATGCCATTTGATTCATCATGATCATGTAACCTTGTAGTTTCAACTGCTGGAGCTGAAAGGACAGCAGGTATAGTAACAACACGCTGAAGGGGATCATCTTCAACAATATTTTTATTAAAAGGGACATCGGGCAAGGTGTGGTCATATTTACATGCAAGTTGGCGCGGTACAATTTCTGCAGCAAACGGAAACTTATCTTCATAGAAAACCATATCTCTTGAGTTAAAGAAAACACCCAGCTCCAAGTCATACATACGCCATCCCTTGGTGCCATTAGGATATCCAACAAATGCACACTTGCGACTTCGACTAGCGAATTTGTCACCCTTATGATGTTGATTATGTGCATAAGCTAGGCAGCCAATGACACGAAGGTGCTCAAGAGAAGGAGGCCTACCATACAAGAGTTCAAATGGAGTTTTACCATCTAAATTTCGTGTAGGAGTTCGATTAATCAAGTAACATGCAGCAAGAGCACATTCCCCCCAAAATTCAATTGGAAATTGGGCTTGAAAGCGCAAAGCACGAGCGACATTAAGAATGTGCCTATGCTTACGCTCTACTCTTCCATTTTGCTGTGGTGTTCCAACACATGAAGTTTCATGAATAATACCACGATCACGAAAAGTTGGTTTCATACAAGTGAATTCAGTTCCATTATCGCTTCGAATTATCTTTACATGTGTACTAAATTGTCGTTCAACCATTGCTAAAAATTGATAAAGATATCTAGAGACTTCAGTTTTATCAACAAGAAGATAAATCCACACTGCTCTCGAGAAATCGTCAACAATAGTTAAAAAATATCTAGCACCGCAAAAAGTATCATTTCGATAAGGCCCCCATAAATCACAATGAATTAAATGAAAACGAGTGGCTGCTTTATTTTCACTAATAGGAAAATTGGCTCGTGACTGTTTTGCTCGAAGGCATATGTCACAAGTCTGAATATATAAATTATTTTTGCTACCGGGGCTAACATTTGGAAGCGTTTGCAGAACTTTCAAAGATGCATGTCCTAGTCTTTGATGCAACAAATCCAAAGATACCTCTTTATTAGTCTTCATTGCAGCCGCCTTGACAATCCCTCTAAGATAGTATAGCCCCTCTCTTTTTTCACCCGCTCCAATCGGCGTCCTCAAAGTGGGGTCCTGTAGAAGACATGAGTTGTCAGTAAATAGGACAGTGTAATTAGAATTTTTTAGTAGTTGTGACACTGAAATAAGATTGCATTGCAAACTAGGCACATATAGAACATTTTTTAGTTGCAGCCTTTCATTGAGCACCACATTTCCTTCTTTGGTGGCCACTGTCTCTTCACCATTTGGGAGTCCTATAGAGCACTCAAAGATGTTGTGTATATTGGTTAGGCAGTCCAATTGACCAGTCATATGGTGTGAAGCACCTGTATCAATAATCCATGGCAAGAAGGAACACTTACCATTGAGCTTCTCAGTTGAATGGTGTGAAGCACCTAGTTTGACATTGTTTAAAAGGCTAGCTAGTGTTTGCAATTGATCACTAGTAAGGCCGAAATCAGCCTCTGGAACATCAGTAGTGATCTCTTTTGTTGCCGCTTTTGCTTGTGCTATGTGAGCCTTAGCAGTACCTCCTCGATTTCTGTTATTAGATCGTTCTGGTTTCCCGCGTCCAGACCCCTTCATTGGTCCACGTGGTCGATCTCCCCACCATTCAGGATATCCTATGAGTTGAAAACAACCTTCTGAATCATGCCCAGTTTGATTGCAGTGATTGCATAATCTTCCTCTCTCCTTGTGTTTGACATTTGAGTGTACTGCAAATGCCATTGCTTCACCACGTTCTTCTGTCACACGAGTTATTGTGCATAGTCGTTCCTCTTGCACCAGTGTTGCATACACTTTGTTTAGTGTAGGTAGAGGATCCTGGGCAAGAAGATTAGATCGTACTGTCCCGTGGATAGTATCATCCAATCCCATGAGAAATTGGTGAACTTTCTCCTCCTCATGTTTCTTTGTAATTTTATTGCTGATATTGCACGTACACAATCCGCACTTGCATGTCAGAATCTGATCATAGTTCACTAATTCTTCCCACAATTTTTTCAGTTTGCCATAGTATGTCACAATGGTCAAACCTTTCTGCTTGCATTCAACTAGTTCAGCTTTGAGCTGTTGAATACGTGGTCCATTCACAATGGAAAACCGCTCCTGGATGTCGTTCCAAAGATCCATAGCTACCTCCATGTGCGACATAGTCAATCGCAGCGAAGGTTCAATGGTATTCATGATCCAAGACACCAATAATGAGTTGTTTGTCCACCAATCTTCAAGATCTGGGGATCCGTCGTCGGGCTTGCCAATTGTTCCATCGACAAAACCGAATTTCTTTCGTGCTCGAAGAGCTGTTCTGAGTGAACGAGCCCATTCATCGTAGTTTTCTCCCTTTAATTGCACATGCGTTATCAAACTTCCAGGATTGTCGTTGGAAGTGATATCATAAGGGGAGATGGTTTTTCTGATGACAACTCCATCGCCATTGTTAACTGTCTTTGTGCTCTTGCTATTTGCTGAAGCTGCAGAGTCTTCGGTATCCGACATGATTCAAACTGGCTTTGTTTCTATTATGTATTGCCGCTCTGATACCATAACAAATATTAGTTTGTAATGGGATTCTTTTCATTGATTCTTGATCTGATATATATACACGTATAGGGTTGAATATAATATCTAATCATTCTAAATATAGTTGTCTAATATTAAATCATTTCCATATAAACTGATGCTAAGAATAGTAAAATGAAGATATGTGCAGCTAATGTCATAATGTGCTGTTATGACATTATCTTCACATAATGTGATGTTATGACAGCATCTTCATGATATTATTTTGGCAAGATATCAGTTGCCTAAGAGTGACGTATCTTTTTTGCAATTTACACAATTAATAGATTATCTTGTGAAGATTCTGATAATCCTGATTTTTTTCCCGAAGACATACTTCTTCTTCTGTATGCCTCTACCAATTTTGGCCTTGAATGTTTGGCTTCAAAAGAGAAAAAGAAATTTTTTGTAATATCTGAGTTACAATAAATTTTCCCTGTTTTGTCTTCTCTTAGGAGATTTTTTTCATCCATTTTGTATTTGGACCAGGCAAAGTCTTTAGAAATTATTTTGGCTCTGACAATTTCTACTTGTTGTGGGAGATCTTCTAAGTGTAAGGTCTTTGGACCCGAATTTTACACTTGGAATTCTTCAAATTCAATATCTATATTCTTGAAATATAACCAAATTAAATGATAACTTGGACAATTATTGTGAAAATCTAGATATAATGATGTTATTTCTAGTTTTACACTTTGTAGAAATTCTAGAATTATGGTTTCTAATGTATCAGCTAAGAATGCTGGTAAATATGGAGTGAAGTCATACAATGGTGGAACATTAATTATACTTACCAGTCCATGTTTAAGCAAATTGGTTAATGTTAAAGGGTAATCTCTAAATTTGAAGGGTTTAAAAGTTGGTAAGGAGATTATTGCCTTCCTAATGGCAGAATCTAATTTACAATAGCATTCACCCTCCTGATTTTCAGGGCAGTCTTCAAACATGTTTTGATATGGTTTATAGTTATTATGAACAAAATCCCATTCAGTGGAGATCCCATTATGGATAATTTGGTTGTTACAAATTTGGGCCAAGGCTTCTTGTAACAAAACAAATGTTTTCATTCTCATTTCTTCTACAGAAGTCTTGAGAGGTGTCTGAATTGATGGTTTTCCCATATTTACCAAACTTGTGATGATTTTTGGGTTTTTCGGAGAATTTAATGTTTCACTTTACATAATTTTTCTTAAATCTTGGTTGGTTCCTTTGATTTTTATCATCAGGATGTTTTCCATATTGTTGAGGAGTATAAATTTGTTCACAGAACCCTACATGCTTTTGTTTTAATTCTTTTTGAATTTGGATATAAGTACTTTTTTTTTAATTCAGAAATAATGTATTGTATTCATATTCCAATGTTATCAAATTCATTATTAACTTCTAATTTCTTCCAATTTTCTTGAATTTCATGACCTAATGGTCCTGGTAATTTGGTAAATAATCTTTCTCCTAATTCTGTAGAAAAATAGTTTTCTGAAGTGCTTGCTAAGGCATAAAAGGCTTGTAGAAATTCTATTATATGGTTTCAATCATATAATTGAATTTGTTCTAAATCTCTCATGGCTTCCGCTTGTCTCATAGTTAATCATACATTGGCATCTTTGCCTGTAATAATTTCGTGTATTAAATATGTAAAATTAATACCTATTATTTCAAACTTTAAACCACAAATAAAAAAATATGAAACATGCAGTTGCAAAGGAACCAAGGATAAATATTCTTGCAATAATATAGAACAACAAGATTTAGATTTAGACCTAAACAATGGTATAGAAAGTGAGTTACACTTAATAGACACTACAAATTTCACAAAAGATCTACAAAATTATGATCTAGAGTAAATAATTAAAAAATTAGAAAAAATTGAAATAATAGGAGAAAATCCTACAGAATTTTGAGAAAGAAATAAAACTCTATGTAAGTTAGAAATTATCAACCCGAACATTACTATTAAATCACCTAATTTCAAGTATGGAAATTGGGAACAAGAAGAATTTAAAATGCACAATAACCAATTATTGAAATTAGGAATTATTCAAAAATCAAATTCTAGACACATAACCCTTGCTTTTATTATTCAAAAAGAAGCGGAAAAGAAAAGGGGTCAATCCAGAATGGTTTTTGGTTATTGAAGATTAAATGATAATACGTTTGAAGACGGATACTGTATACCAGACAAAGACACTTTAATTAACAAAATACAAGGTAAAAATTGGTTTTTTAAAATTTGATTTAAAATCATGCTTTTGGCAAGTAAAAATTTATAAAGATAGCATTGAGTTGACGGCTTTTTCTTGTCCTTTGGGATATTTTGAGTGGCTAGTAATGTCATTTGGACTTAAAAATACTCCACAAATTTTCCAAAGAATGATGGATGGCATTTTTAAAGAATGTTACAATTTTACTTGTGTTCACATTGATGATATTCTTGTTTTTTCTAAATCTGAAAAAGAACATCTAGAACAATTATATATAATTTTTTCCTTATTCGAAAAACATTTATTCAAATACTAGAGTGTTTAATATGAGAGTGGTGGATGGCATTGTATTTAAAGTCTATAATAAATGAGGTAAGTAGATAAGTCATGTAGTATAATATTTAAATATATATGTGTAAGTGTAAAGTGTAAGTGGATATAATAATACGTAACAATAATAATAAATGGTATAGGTATAATGGGTGTAATAATGAATGTGTTAATAATATAGAAAAGATTTTTAAGCCCTTGATAAAGTAGATATGTCATCTTTTATGATAATAATCATGGTGTAAAATATAGAGATTTGTTGAAGAGTTAAATCTTTTTGAAATTTCAAAAAAGAAGAATATGTAATCCTATTATTATTTTTAATAAGTGAATTAATAGATTCAAATTCTTTTCCCATTTAGAAAATACAAACAATTTTAAAATAAACAAATAATATAATATAAATACAAGTTAGCACTAGGATATAATTTTAAACAAATATAGTAACACAAAAAAATTAGTAAAAAAATTACTAAAGTAAATGAATTGACTATTAACACCCATACAAATAAATTTGGAATATGACAACAGGTGTTTATTTCCAACCAAAACAATATTGAAGTCTCAATAATGACCTTTGAGACTTAAATCATCCAATTAGCAAAACAATTGACTGTCTAACAAAAAGACACAGTCAATGCTTACACCCAAACTAATTCAAAAGAGCATTGTAATGTTGTTGTCACTGATGAAATCATTGTTGTCGAGGCCAAGGAGAAAGAAACAAAAAACTCAGAGGAAGTGGAGTCGTTACGAGGAAAGCTACGACATTATCCAACAAACTATCCCAAAAGGAAGGAAATTATGGTGTAGTCATGTTACCTATATATATATATATATATATATATATATATATATATGTGTTATCGAAGTTGGAAATATATTCATTGAATTGGGTGCAAGTGTAAATGTAATACCATTGTCAATGGTAAAGAATGTTGGTGAATTTCAAATAGAGCCAACTATGACAACACTAGAGATGACAGACAAAATATGCAGGACGCCAGTGAGAAAACTTGAAAAATGAAAAATTTCAATTGAATGGAGTGAAGTAGAGGTTGTGTGATGTTCAATCTTCGAATTATTTTAACTTTTACATCTTTTATTTAACTTTTTTATTTATTTTGAGGATGTTCGTAGAATAAAATTCTAAATTTAAAGATATTAAATTTATATCGTTGTGGATGAGCACCACGTAGGATGGAAAAACAATCCCCAAAATTTACAACAAATTATAGGACTCAGTAGTATAATTAATGAATATGCATAATATGAAAAATATTGATTAGTATGATTAATTTCTATTAGTTGATAGCTTGGATAAGACACTTCAAAAATCTTCCTAACTAAAAATTAAATAGAAAAAAAGGTACATGTGGAATACATTATAAGCTTCAGCTAGGTAAGTAATTTGACTAACTGAAAATGTTAAACATTGTACGTGAAACGATGAATTGGAGCAGATTATTTGACTAACTGAAAATGTTAAACATTGTACGTGAAACGATGAATTGGAGCAGATTATTTTTGGTAAATCAATGGTCTCAAAAAAAGAAGAAAGTTGGTCACCATTATGGTTAAAATCACAATTCCACTCCAATCAACAATTGTACTGGGGCGATTATAGTCTCTCATAAGTTAAAAATTACTTTTACCCACACAAATCCTCATAAAAATATTATGTTTTATAGCAATGTTATAAGAGCCGAATATTATGTTGTACGTGAAGGGATGCTTGCAAGACAGGCAAGACAGAGTATAAACTAATGTACATTTTCAAATAAAAATAGTTACTACCCATTTTTATTATTTGTATGTGCAGATGCTGTACTTTACACAGTGGAAGATTGAAATCTTCCTTTCTTATTGTCTATTGTACAATTCAGTTTGAAACCAAGAAATTATGCACCTCCTTCAGTTCCAACTGAAGTCTAATAATTAGAGGATCTCGGAAGATTTAGTGCCTGATGATCCCTCAGTTCCAATTCCCATTCCACTATCTTGCTCTATGAAGCAAATCAACTGATTAATAGTTTCCTCAGTTCCCAGACGGTCAGGTCCAGATAAAATCTATAAAAAAATATTACATAGTTCAAATAAATCCACATTTACAAAAACTAAAGAAAATCGTTTCATTTGACCAAAAATAAAGAACATGGTTTCTACTTACTCTTTTTACCACCGAAATAACATTGGAAAGATTCTCCTTATTACTTCCAAATATATGTTCGTCCGACCTCATCAATGCACACAGTTAACTACTTTAGCTTAGCCCAATACATGAACAAAAGTATAAAGTTGGCAACAATTTGAAAGTAATCCAGAGTAGATTTAAGAACACTTTAACACCTTTGTATCCATTTAGAAAGCAGTCCATGTGCATATCTAGCTTCATTGTAATCGTGCCTCAATGGCAAGAAGCATAACCAGTTTTTAACCTCCTGCATAAAAGAATTAAGATTGAGGATAACAAAAGAAAATTGTGGCTAGGCAAGACTAGCACTAGCAGACGCAATAAACATTATAGATTAACAGTTGTAGAAGTCATGTTGATATTATGAAACAAGACACATACATGGACACGGCACTGACACTTATATACACAGACACCACAACTGACAAGTCGACATTGGCAATAGTTTTTAAAAATAAATAAATTAAACCATCTGTCAGACCCCAAATACATTATTTAGAGGTTTTGGTGCTACAATATTTTGAAATTTTGATTTGTATATTATAATTTAAAGAAGACGAGGAACTATTATTACCTCAGGGGTGATACAATCACGATGAAATTCACAGATTTTTCCAATAGCTGCAACTGTTGTATCCCATAACGCTTTCACATTTCCTTGGCCATATAGACGTACTAGTTCACCAAGTTTTTTATCCAGAAAATTGTACAATATCAACATACACGCTGCACAAAACTTACTGCTGTTAGATTTTAGAGATTAAATAACCTTTTAAAAAGGGTAAGAGTTTTAAAAAGTTACCATTTACAGAGTCTTTAAATTTATCTCCTCCAAACATAGCACAGATTCCTACTGCCCGTGTAGCATGCTGAAATAATAATTAACCAAAAATTAATCTTTACTTGTTTTTTTTTTTTAAAGATTATTTTAATATTAATAAGGAAACAAAATTATTGATGCATCTTTGAAATTACCAGCATGGAACAAGGATAATCATTCGTCAAAGCACGACATGAGACTGAGCTATATCTATCAAAATACCTATTTGATCAAATAGCAAACAGGAACAAGATAAAGTTATCAACAGAGACATTTATTATTGCTATAACTTCATTCAAAACTCATAAAAGAAGCTAAGTATAACAAACGGGTTTACAGCGTCAATTTGTCTGGAAATAGTGGCAAGATAACGTTAAAAATGGAAATTGCAAAAGCTATTATTCTGTCTGGCTTATCATCGGCCTGCCAAAGATTAACCAAAAGCAATAACAAAATTGATGAGAAACATTATGGAGGAGCACAATTTTTACTTAAAGATTATTAAGTAGAACATATATATAAAGCTATTCATCATAATATCAATCCTGGCCAAATTTGAACAGCTTAGCCGACTGGATCAAATAGATTGAATGGATTTTTTAATTTTTGTTCCCAATCGAGTCTTAACAATCCTACATAGATAATTCGTTCCTAATTAAACTGGTATATCATTAAAAATTATTAGCCTGGCACTCTTCTTAGCTTCACTTGTTATCTATACTACTCTTGTTTGACATATGCAGGTCTTCTAGCACGATGATTATAACAAGCTCATTTAAAAAACATCGAGATCAGAACATACCAAAAACCCAACAACGTTAGACACGAGGTCATCAACATGTACCAAGAATTGGTCTCTAGATGTGTTAATCGTTGTTGCTATTAAGTGAACTACATCCTGTGATGAGAAGAAGAGTTGATTATCATTCCTACTCTATAGATCAACAAATTAATGTAAATACAAATTTAGGAGTATAATAATCATATAAAAATACGTCCTACGCATATATCCATACATCTTATCAGTTTTCTGTGGGTAAACAAGTCATACAAAATCATATAATGTATGTGTATTCAGTAACAGGAGAATTTAAAGATATAACCTCCATTATCTCGTCTGTTGTTAAAGCTTCAAATACATCTTCCAAAGTTCCTACTTCTTGTGCTTTCTCCATTTCAAATTTAATAATCTTTTTTACTGTATCGTTTATTCCATCAGCAATTAACCTGATCAGTTGATCAGTGAAAAATGAACTAGAGATCTGCATAATGAACATATGTTACTAATATGAGACATATATAATCTAAACATATTATCTATATGTATTTTACAAAATCATATTGTACCTGAATGCATGTAGCAAGTAACTTCAATATTGTTACTGACAAATCCCTGTCATTCTGCATGTGTTTTGCATTGGCAAGAAATAAGTCCAAATATAAAATGATAAACTAAGAAGTAAGAACTACAACCGAATACATACCCCCATCATCAACGTTACAACCAAAGATTGTACAATGATAAATGTCATATCTCTTTTAGTGTCATTACTTTTGTCACCTGCTTTAAGTGAGAGTAATAGTTTTGGAAGACCTAAAAACAGAAAGTAACTATTTAATAAAAAGTTGTTTAAACCCCCAAAAATAAAAATAGAAATAAAAAATAAAAATATATATATATTCACCTAAAATAGAAGCCTTGCGAATTTGAAAACTAGAACAACCAAGCAAACGTATAAAGATTGGAGAAACCTAAGCATTTAAATACATGTTTAATCAGTCACATGTTTGTTTTTTAGGTAGGCACCTCTACAAAACCACAAACATCATGTCTATCAAACTAACCTTGCTAATGTGGGGGGAAAAGTTTATAGATGACCGAATAGCACAATATGACAATGTATTACAAGCCCGAACTCTTGTTAGCTCGACCATTTTTTTGCTCTCATCATTTAGGCTGCAAATGAGCACATCCATCAGTTAATAACAAGAGAGCATTAGTTGAATGATTTTTTAACTTGATCTGTGATATCATTGTTGTTCCCACTTTTCATTCCTATTAAACTGTGTGATTTCCTCATAGTGCCACAAAATATTGCTCATTCTTATCGGAACTAACATAAACTCTTTTATCTTTGTCCATTAAGTCAAATATAATGACAAACCTATCTTCACTGAGATTATTGTCCATTATGTCAAGTTGGGGTTGAATGGATCCAATTAACATTGGCATGATGTCGTTGATAAATTTGCCAATACTCACTCTTGGGCATTGACAGATTTGATCTATAACCTGCACAATATTCATTCAGTTAGGAATGTAAACTTTCAACTAGCCTTATCATGTGGGGGAGATAAATGACCTATCAATGATTTCAAATATACCTTTATGATGATACACTTTAATAAGTAGTCTTCACTACTCGATTGTCTTTCAAGTAATATTAGAGATTCCACAACCTTCAAATGTTACAAGATGAATCAACATAAAAATAAATTATTTCATAATTATTTGACAACCATTAAGATATATGAATCTATGACAAACTTAACCAAATTTTGAATGATATATTCCCCTTATAAATTCTAATTTCTACTTGTCTCAATTTTAAAAATTTGGTTTCAATTTTATATTCTATATAATTTAATTCAATTTAAAATAGAATTAGAAGAAGTACTCACCTGAACAACTTCTTGTTCTTTGAAGTTATCTCGCCCAACTTTCCTAATAAGATATACCATGCATTCTAAACATTTGACACATAGCACAGATTTGTGTAAACTATTGCACGAAACAACTCTCAGTGCTTCAATTGTTGTATCATAATAATTTTGGCGAAAAGTTTCCTGCATGCAACAATTACACACAAATCACATTAGGATAATTGTTTGTCATGATCAAAACATGTCATTCCTAAACTTCAGATATTAATGTATACCTCCATTGAAACTGCAAACGATTTCAGGGTATCAACAGCTTCGATCTGTAACTTCTGCTTTTCATGCTGAAAAACTCAGAAAATTCATTTAGCTTATTTTAAGTACATAAAACAAAAAACAGAAAAATGATCGTTGAGACTACACCAATATGATGGGTAAATGTATGCAATGATTTTCATATACAGTGCAATATGTTTATAAATGACAGGTTAATAGTAAAAATTGCAGACTATGTACCTTAAGAAGTAAAAGTAATGATGTGATAATCTGTTCCCCAAAATGCGACATTTTGTCCAAGCCACAAGTTTTTACCAAGGATCGAAGGGCAATGAGAGCATATGACTGCAGAAAATAAAATAGTAAGCAAAGGATATCGTTTATAAAACAACTCAATAAATAGTGCTTCAATGTATACATAGTAAAACCTTAGTGAAATCGGCTTTTAAGATAATGACTATATTTAAAAATTGGAGATAAATTTTAATGCACATATTTAATTTCAATATGAATTAACTAATAACAAATATTTAGAAAGAAAATGTAAAATGAGGAAAAAGGATAAAAACATGTTAATAAGACAAGCATCTCTTTACTAACAGATATCAAGTTGCAACATTAATATGTTTGTACCTGTACACGGGCACAAGAGTTACATTTAATGATGGGAACTAGCTTCTCGAAGAACTTCATCTGAAATTGAGCACGCAATAATAGTTTCTTACATTCACTCAATCGCCTAATGGCATGCATAGCAGCCCAGAGTACTCTGTCGTTCTGCTCATCCAGTGACTTAAGGACCAATATGGCAACTTGTTCAAAGTTCTCAATCATGTTCTGTGGTTGCAAAGTGGAAGAGAGGAATCATATATGAATGAAATTGTCAGCATCATAAATAACATGGCACGCACCAAATCGGAAAATTTAATAATGAAAAATCATTTTCTGGCATTGCGTGTACTTTGAAACTTGTAGTTGCATAGTGGTCAACTTCACGCAATGTGTGGTGCAAGCGTCTTCTAATAACAATAATAAGTAACCAACCAAGATTTACAAACTAGGTATAATCCACCCGACTTTAATTTGTCAACTATTTTGATTGATTAGAGAAAGTCCATATCGACTAGAACTATTTAAACTCGGCGGTGTCATTAAACTTTAGGCTTGTTTAAGAGAAACCAAAATACAAATACAAACCTTCATCTGCATAGAGCTACACAATACCACACATCATAACATACATAAATCATGATCATGGTTTTAAAAACAAACAAAAAAAGTGTAATGTTCGTCTAGAAATAAAAACACACTTCTCTGAACAATGTACTAAAGAGCACATATAGGAATCATGCAAAATTTTGAAGAGTCCCATGGAGATCTGTTGAAATATCTATTAAATTTACATAACATAATTTTGCTCTTTCTTTAAACTAATGCATCATCAAGAAAACAATTCAGGGCTTAAAGCTGATTGAAATATCATATTATATCATAATTTATATGCATACCATTTCTTTGAAGTTATTATGTGCAATTGTAGCAAAGGCCATCATAGCTGCATGACGTAGCTTCCAATCGATACTCGGTGCATATTTCATTGTTATCATCCCAATTGCCGTGGGAACAAAGACACTCTCATTCCCATCTATAGAGAGGCATTCCAACAGGAATTGCCCGCGCTTGAAACTATCTGTCAACCCAGCAGCTTTACAATCCTTACTGTCAACATCATACCAAATAGGATCTTCAATAACATACGATAACATATTCATAGCAACTGCAAATATCCTTCTCACTTCGTACTCAGAAAGAGTCTTCATCATATTTTCAATCACATTCACATTCGCAGTATCAAGCTCCTTGATTACATAAACTGCTTCAGATCTCAGTTGCTCGCTTGCATCTGTTGCCTCCGCTACTCGAATCATACACCAAAACAGTACATCATGTTTATTCTGGAAGATATTTCCATCATCCAGCGAAACTAAATCACCCAAACGTTTAAGCCTACTCAACAGAATCACTTCTTCTCTGTGTTGATCGACAATATTCAACAAAACTGGCACGAAAAAATCACATATATCAGTCCTCTTGAGATCCTTTGAATATAACATCAATGAAATCGATGCATTGTATGCCAATCCTTTTATATCATTATCCGTTGAGTAAATAGATTCCAAGATGTTGGCAAAGGCAAGTTCGAAGTTCCCGCGACTCAGCCAAAACTCTCTATTTTGAGCAACATCCAGAGGTAATTCGGATAACAACATAAGCCCTTTCTTGTTTTCCGATTCGGAATCTCCGGCAAGGCACGTGACAGTGTACTCGAGAAGCTCCACCCAACCGCCGAGAGAAGATTGACTCAAACTGCCAACGAGGATGCCAAGAGAAGTTCGATACAACCTGTCGGCGAGGAGACCGGTCGATTCGCATAGCAATCGAGACAAATTTTCTTCAGATTCTAACATGAGGGACTGAAGAAAAGGAATTTTGAGTTCAATGAGGATAGATGAGTTCATTGGATTGTTTACCCCTTCCGGAAAAACCTCATGGAGAAGAGCAACGATTTCGGTTCGTATTTGAAGCGGAGGGTGGAGTTCGAGGATTTTAGCGAGCTTGAATGAGAATGCGTTAGGGTAATAACGTATGAACGATTTGAAAATTGTCTTGAATATTTCTTTCTTGGATTCCGCGTACTCGTGGATTGCTTCTTGCAGCGACGAGAGGTCGTTGGATTCGAGGAGCTTCGCCGCGTGCTCTTGGAGTTCGAAGCCGTGGAGGAGTGATTTGTCTTGGAATTCTTCCGCGCGTTTTCTCTTTTTCACTCTTTCTGACAAGTAGTTTCGCGGTGGCTCCTTTATCTCCGGCACAAACGGATCGCGTAGGGAACCTTCCTCCGGTTGCGACGTCGGTGACGATGGCGGCGAGAAAGACTTCTGAGATGAGGAGGAGCTAGAGGGTGAAGCCGGCGGTGAGAAAGATTTCGGAGTTGAGGCGGAGCTAGAGGTTGACGCCATTGTTGAAAAATGGGTTGAAGCTTCAATGGAAGACTTTGGCGGGAAAAGTAACTGTTAGTTTGATGGAATCTGTTTTTCTGTTGTGGTGGTAGTATCCACGTCAGCTTTTCAATTGATTTTCACAAGAAAGATAATTGCATTATCGTAATATGAGAGGAAGCGAATATATTACACATTGTTATGGGTTATTATGATGGGCCTCAAGCCCATTACTCTCCTATGTCCAAGATGTTGAGAATTTCTTGGTACATTCTTATACGAGTGAAGTAAATTTTTGAGAATTCAAAAATGCTATTCGGATATGCATATCTGAATGCATCTTATTTTTATATAAAAAGAAGGTATTTTCAAATATATATATATATATATATATATATATATATATATATATATATATATATATATATATATATATATATATATATATATATATATATATATATATATATATATATATATATATATATATATATATATATATATATATATATATATATATATATATATATATATATATATATATATATATCTGAATAAACTTTATATTTTACGAAAAAAATGGATTTTCGAATATACATATCCGAAAAGTTTCTGTATTTTTCTTAATAATTAAAAAGGTTTATGTATATCCAAAAATATTTCTTTTCGTAAAAAAATAAGGTTTATTCGAATATGTATATCCGAAAATACATTTTTTGTATAAAAAAAAAGGATATTTTCGGATATGCATCTCCGAAATGAAGTATTTTGTGAAGAAAATAAAGGTGAGTTCGGATGCATATCCGAATTCAGGGAGTATTACGAGAATTTTTATCAAAGGGCCTCTAAGAAAACATAAGGGTGCATTAAGAAATTATCAAGATGTTTTGTAAGTAAGGGTGAGAATAGGTGAGGCGAAACTTTAAGAGACGTGAATTTGACCTATCATAAAATTTTAAGTTTCTGAGTTTGGCTTATGACTTATGATAAATTCTTTTTTTGTATCTGACATTATTAAAAGTCTAGTTTAATTGTAAAGCCTATTTAAATATTTGTTTTGCATTAAGACTTAAATGATCCGTGTTGACCGGTTTGTCATGTTCTTATCTTAATCCCTAATTATAAGTAGTTTCTTGAGCTCATATCACATATATCTCAACACATATAGCTCCACTCCACACATTTATCTTATTCTCCTTCAATTCATGACAAACAACAAAACTTGGCTACTACATTGACGCCCACGTCTCCGCCTTCATCAATATTACCATAATTCTCACCTCAAATGACTACCTTAGCCCAATATGGTATAGTCAAACCTCATAAGCTTTTTAACCTACATATTTCATCTCAAAATTTCATATCCCCCTTACCTATAAACTCTATAGATGCATTACATGACCCTAATTGAAAAATGGCCATGAAAGACGAATATGATGCTCTTATTGAAAATAAGACGTGGAATTCAGTTACTTGTCCATCTAATTCTAATAGTATTCGAAGTTGTGGATTTTCAGACATAAAAACAATTTAGATAAATAACTCGAGCGGTACAAAGCTCGCCTTGTAGGTAATAGAGAAAACCAACAAAAAGACGTTGATTACGGTGAAACCTTCATCTCGTAGTCAAACCGGCTACTATTCACACAATACTCAGTGTTGCTTTGTCAAAATCATGTTTTCTTCATCAATTGAATGTTAAAAATGCCTTCTTGCACGGTAATATTGATGAAATCGTGTACATGCACCAACCTCCAGGATTTTGTCATCCTCAATTCTCAAACCATGTGTGTTTGCTCAAAAAGTCTCTCTATGGATTCAAACAAGCATTGTGCACCTCGTATCAGTGGTTCACTGATTATGTCGCTACAATGGGATTCACTGACAGTATTTGTGATCACTCATTATTTATTTATCATAATGGAATGACATGACTTACATTCTTCTTTGTGTAGATGACATTATCCTCACTACTTCATTTGAATCTCTTCGTGAGTATATTATGTCCAAGTTGAGTTCTGAAATTGCAATGAAGGACCTAGGTTTTCTAAGTTATTTTTAGGCATCTCTATTACTCGACATTCAGGAGGTATTTTCCTCTCTCAGAAAAATATGCATAAGAGATTATTGAACGTGCAAGAATATCCTTATGCAAGCCAACCTCAACAGTGGTGGATACCAAATCAAAACTCAATGAGTCCAAGATAATCTGTATCATGATCCAACATAATATTGAAGTCTTGTAGGGGCATTACAGTACTTGATATTTACAAGACCATATATATCATATGTAGCTCAGCAAGTGTGCCTCTTTATACATGATCCAAAAACACTACACATGCCTGCCTTAAAACGGATCATACGTTACAGTCATGATACTGTTCAATTTGGCCCCACCTGTATTCTTCATCCATCGACAAGCTCATATCTTACGTAGGTGCTGACTGGGCTGGTTGTCCAGACACAAGAAGATCTATCTCTGGGTATTGTATGTATTTTGGTGACAATTTATTATTTTAGTCTGCACAACGTCAATATTCCTTGTCTCGATTGAGTGTAGAGGCCCAATATCGAGGAGTGTCTAATGTAGTGTCTAAATTGTGTTGTATTCAAAATCTACTTTTAGAAGTACATTGTCGTGTTACAAATGCAACATCAATGATGCGTACCTTTTATTGAAGCGGTAAAGCAGAAAGCAAAAAGTAATAGTGTGATCGGTGGATCTGGAACTGACTGTTTAAAGTTGGTTCGCGAAATGTCGCGGTAAGCAAGAGTCGCCACCGTCTTTTATGTTCTCCAACATGGAAAGGACAAAAGCACAGCAAAATTCCTTCTTTGAGAATGTTTCTCGGTTCGGGAGGTAGATTTATAGAAAGGGAAGGTGTTAGCACCCTTTCTATCCATGGTTATCCATGGGCTCTTAGATACTTGCTCATTGTGTTTTCAAAATGTTTGCTTTTCAATTGTGAGTGAGTTTGAAAAAGTTTCATTTAAAGATTTCAGATCGACCCTTGTATCAGTCCTCAAGAGTGTTTGAAAAATTGTTTTGAAAGCTTTTTGGAAGTGTCGGTGTGAAAAGAGTTTTGATTTGTTTTTGAATAGAGCAAGTATCTATGAGTCATCTACCTACCCTAAGGAATTAGGCTGTGTAAATGTCCTTAAGGTAGTGCCATCCCACCATTGAGAGATAGGTAGCACCACCGTTGGAGGTGTTCGGGTCAATTCGTTTGTAGGGACAGTGTGGTCACCAAAGCAACAGTAGGACACCTTAGAAGCTACCCTTATGCCATTGATCCTTTTTAATTTCGAGGCAACCGTTTCGAGGCAACTGGATCATGTCATGGACATAAGGACTTACTAAAACGTCCTATACTCGACGACCACGTTTCGAGGGCAAGGCAACAGTGAGGCGTACCCTAAGAGTGGTGTGTGAATCTGTATGTTATTTTCATGTTAATATTTGTCTTTGATCATGCCTTTGGTGAGCTACGCATTGTTTTTAATTTAGGCCATTCATTCTTTCATGCAAAGTTTAGAATTTAAAAGTGCGGAAATTAAAGTGCGGAAAGTAAAATCCTACGCTATTACAAGGCGCGGGTCTATACATCGCCAAATTAACAAAGACCCGTTTTGAATAAAAATGTGGAAAGTAAATAAACTTCCTAATTACTATTACAAGGCTCGGGCAATTACATAATATTTAAAAAGAAAAATAAGAATAAACGCGCGAAAAGAAATGATAGAACATTCGAGGGCGTTGGACCCTTTTGAAATTAAATTGAATGAAAAGTTAATTAATTATTAAATTAAAGAAAAGAAGTATTTTTTATGGTTTTTGGATTTATGAAATAAAGAAATTGAAATTGAAGAGAAACCCTAATTCTAAGTATTTTTAATTATAAAAGAAAAGGTTAAAGTTTAAAACCTAATTTACATTAATTATTTTACATATTTATTTACAAAGATATTTAATAATTAATAGTAATAATAATGAGAAAATTATTTATTTAAAGAAAAAAAGAAAAGATAAAAAAGTTAGAAACCCTAATTTCTACATATTTTAGTTATTTAAGAAAAAGTGTTAAAATTGAAAAAAAAAAACCTAATTTATTAAACTAAGTTATTATTTAGAGTTTATTTACAAAAATATTTACTAAATAAATTAATTGACATATTTTAATTTCTGTTATTTTTATTATGAAAATTAATTTTATGGTGAAAAGAAATAATTAAAACCTTAAAAAGAATTTAAAGAAAATCAAATAAAAAGCAAAAATAATGCAAACCATGGGGGGGTATCAGGTCCTTGTTGGAGGTTTTTTGAAGCACTTAGGCCCACTGAATCAAGGCCCTCTTTTGACTTTTTGTGGTTGCGTGTGTGTTCATTGACTAGCGTGCATGGTGGACCTCCATTCATAGCCTTCAGATGGATCATTATGCATACGTGGCAAGCCAGCATGTGGAGTTGTATGGTAGGACGTTGATGGCATGCTGCATAGAAACATGTTAATGAAAAAAATATGGAATAAGTGGGGGGACCTGGGAATCGAAGCCAGGTCCCAATACTTGCCAGACAGCTCACACACCAACTGAGCTAGTGCGCGCATCTGTTAATATTATGGAACATAATTAATATAAGAGAAAAGCAAGTGTTATTGGTAGAAAGCAAAAATCACGCGCCAAGATTTGAATCACCCAGTCATGTATGGACACGCCAGCTTCGTCTTCATCTTTTTACCTGTAACATGAACAAATAGCGGGGGTTTTAAACCCCCACTAAACAAGACCAGGAAAAATAGCGATTAGACAATGGGCAATTATAAAAAAGGCGCGAGGTGTGAGTTTGATTCGTCTTCCTGTCACGAATTCATTGGTATAGGTTTTAAGGCCTGATTTTACCATATGTGTAAACCCCTAAATCCAAGCTTCTGAAACCCTAGAGAATGTTAATGGCAACTTTTGATACATGTATTCTTAGTTCAATTCAAGGGTACCATTAGCTTCAGAACATCCATATTAGT